ATATTAAGTGTCTATGGAACTCATCAGCTACGTCACAAATATCACTTGATTATCTAACATTTAAATAAACATGTCACTTGGTTATTTAACGTTTGAGATAGTTATGACATTAGTGTGACAATTTCAAATAGATTGGAAACAAAGTACAACAAATAGGTTAGGCCCTTGTTTGATTCCCCATTATTTTCAAATTATATTCTCTCTCTCTCTCTCTTCTTTTTAACCGTACATTATTCAATAAAATAATATTACACACAAAAATTCAAAATTTTTCTTATTTTTTAACCATATATTTCCCATCAATCTATTATTCTAAAATGCATTTTTTACCAAATAATGGGGTTCAAATAAGAGCTAGATATACAAGTGCCATGCTTTACGGAATTTGTTAATGTTTAACGAGCGTAATATGTTTGTTGTAGTTAAAAATAAGTTTTTTTTAGTAGATTTTGATAGTAGTTAATATCATAAGTAATTGAAAAATTGATAAATATTATAGGTCTTATGAAATATATTGTTAAAATTAGCTGTTAACTTTGACTTTTTCCAACTTTTCAAACAATACTAAACATGGGAGTAGATTTTTTGAAAATAATTTTTTGTGAAAAGTGATATTTTTAAGAATGCATGGTTAAAAAACAGAAAATGTTCAAGTGCTCATGCCAAAAAATATATATATATATAATAATAATAATAATAATAATAATTAATTGAAGAATTTATAGTTAAAAATGAATTTTTTTTAAAAAAAATATGAGTTTTAAAGAATCTATATCAAACAAGGCTAATTGCAAATTATTTTTAAATGATTTTTTATTTCTAAATATGCAAGTCCCTGAACATGGTTCGATTTGAATGGTTTGGGACAAGTTTTCAAATCAAATCACTTAAAGCGATTTGAAATTTTTTCAAATCAAATCAAACAATTTCAATTTTTAAATCAAACCAATCCAAACAACTTTTTTTCAATTTGGTTCAATTTAAAACCACAATTTAACAAAGAAGAAAATAGCATATCTAGTCTAAAATTTTCATGATAAAATATAAATAATATCATTAAAAATGTTATAAATCAAAGTTTTATAACTCTAATTCCTATAATACAACATTAGAGAAACATTTAAACTTATTAGTTGATAGTAACTGGCACAACATTTGCAATTGTGACACATTATTCGTCCCTCCATAAAGATAAGAATATAACATGAATTCATCGATTATACTTTAATGATATGAAACGACTAATAAAAGAAAATGAATAGAAGGATCAAATATGATAATACATATTAAATTTTTTTTTTTTTTTGTAAATAATTTATTGTTCCTATTTTATCCAAATACTGACAAATAAATATAGGTTCCTTGTTACTATGCAATCAATTTGTAGGGCAAATCATCGCGTCAACAGTATTTGCACTCAACAAATTTTTAAAGAAATAAAGAATCCATCAAAGTAATTTGGCGGGACAATCTTGTATTTATTTGCTTTCAATTTTCATCAAGTGATATGTAAAAAGACTCATTCACCAAATCTTCAAAACAACCATTTATAATTCGCCAAATCATTCTACTAATTAACAATAAATAGAAAGTAAATTTAAAATATAAATAATTAAATGAGTGACCTAATCGAGAAGTCGAGACACAAATAAACAAAAAATATTGTCCACTAAAAATTTAAGGGAGCCCAAGACAAATTAAAACAGAATAACACAACTACCAATGAAATATAGCAGAGAATTATCAAAAATGAGAAAAATTGAATAATCTGAACTAGATGTCTAGTCGAAATTTGAGAAAATTATTAGTAGAAGAAAAATAAATGGATAAGTTTGAATTAAAATTTAGATTTAATCGTCTGCTCAATTGTAATGGATAGTCAATAAATATGGTACAGCTACAGTTGTTCAACACTTCGGCTAATTTGCGGATTTTACATTCACAATTATGATGACCAATGGGAATTTGATTTCATATGTAATTAATTAATGGGGATGAATAATTGCCTATTTAGATATTGAATTTAATAGTGTTATGTTTAATATGGAGTTCCATAAATTTTAAATTAATTTATATTCAGAATTTTTTACAAACGGTTTGGCGGTTCGAAATGATTTACAAAAATTGAAACCTAAATCAAATCAATTCGAAACGATTTTGTTTGGCTCAAATCAAAACGTTGATGGCCTCCAATTAATCTTAAATGCATTTTTTCTCTCATTTTTTAACCACACATTTTTCAATAAAATAATATTACATACAAATTCAAAATTTTTCCTTCTTTTTTAACCACACATTCTTCAAAATAATCACTATTTTAAAATACATTGTCCCCAAAAACATATTAAAATGGAGCCCAAATGAGGGCTAAGATTAGTAGCTTAATCTACGTCATCGAGTTCCCAATTCAAGTCGGGAAAAATGTAAAAAGATAATTGTTTTATTACACAGCCCTCGGGACGTGTTTTCCAGCACCAGTTTCACTGAAGAAGGTGTTGAAGGCTTCATCTCCGCCTCCTACGGTTTTGTCTCCCGGCATTTGCCCATCAGGCTATGAAAAATTGAAACAATCAACATTTCTTCAAATACACTACCAAAAATTGTATAAAAAAGACCATAGTAATCAAAAATTGACAGGAAATTTCTGGAAATGGTTTAAAGAAACAGATCTGAGTTAGGCAGTAAAGATCCCCAACCATAACCAATCGGAATTCTCAAATAACCATTGAAATAATTGAATATATTAAATGGAAAATTCGGGAAAATGTTCGATATAACAGATCTAAATGCAAATTTCAAGGAAGTAAGTTTCGTAACAATAAAACTTCATATAAACCTTCGAAAAATATAAAACAAAAAACATATAACAATTAAAAACGAGACATCCAAAGTGAACTTTCTGCAAAATGTTCAATAAAACAGACCTGAATTCCATGTTCGAGGCAGTAAAGCTCCCAACAGGCATTGCCGACTTGGATACCGGCCTGACCAATATGGATCGAAATGCACTCTCTCATTTTGAAATGAAATCACAAGAAAAACGCGTGAGATTGAAATGAAAAGAAAGGGATTACCAGAGGCGTATACAAAGACGCTGCTCTGGTTTTTTTTCAGATCTGATCTGAGGATGAGCAGGTTAGGGTCTGTGAAAATGGGGAATTTATAGAGGCTGAATTTTTGAACGGTTAATTTATTTATTTTTAATTATTTATTTTTATTTTTTTAAAATTAGAAAATGTTCATATTTTACTGCTGGTTTTGACGGTTGCCGTTATGATTTTGACTATTTCAAAAATTTGAATTCTAGTCGGATCGGATACTCGTTTGTAGGATTTGAACCCGCTGGGTAGGATGGGTCTAGGATAAGAGTAGAATCAAAGTAATAGTGGACGGTCTCTATTTTTCTTTTCATTTTTACTTTCAATCATATAATCCTTCATAAAATAATATTACACGTACATCGAAAATTTTTCTTTTTTTAATCATACATTCTTCAACAAAAATATTATTCCAAACATTAAAATTTGAAAGAACGAGGGCTAAATGTAGGCTAAATTTCATCAACCAACCCAACTTTCCATTAAGCCTCTATTTGTTATCCATTATTTGAAAATTAAAGAATTTCGAATAGTATTTTTTGAAGAACGTATAATTAAAAAATAAAGAAATTTTATTGGTTTGTATGTAAAATATTTTATTGTGTGAATGCATGATGAAAAATGATACTGTAGCATACAACTTAAATTTTTAAATGGGGCCAAATAGGCACTATGCAATCATATCCTCAACCTCTTAAAACAATACTCTAAAAGGTGGACTCAAAGAAAATGCCTCGCATAGGGACAAGCTGGAAAAATGAAGGTCTACTCTACATTGACCGTCGAAGGAGCACATTGAGAAAAAGGAATATACAATTTTATTTAGAAGGGAGTGTGATCTAGTTTAGTCACATTTTGAAGGGAATCAAATCAAATTGAATATCAATAAAAATCTTAGAAAAAAATCATTAGTTCCATATCCAATCATAAAATCGACCAAACAATTCGGATTCATAAAATCGACCGAACGATTCGGATTCAATTTGGTCCAATTCTTTATATTGAAAATTATAAAATAAAGTGTGAAACTACTTGTCATATTGAAAATGAACAATAAACAAATATAGGATATAAAATCACTAGTCATACTTGTATCTTTTAAGACAAAATATCAATTAAACAAGACAACACAAAAATTCGCTTCGAAGCTCAAGATCAACTCTTAAAGGCGAAAAAGGGGAAACTATTAAATATTATTTCTTAAGGAAATTCATACAACTACAATTAAAAAAAAAAAAAA